GGCAGCTATACAGGAGGTAAAAATGAACCCTGCGTGGAAAAGCGCTTGCATAAAAAGGGCGACAAATGCGTTACGACTGCAACTTGTTCCCTGCTCTTTCCACAATCAAACTATTTTGAAATTGCTCAACCCCTCGATCCGGTTTTCTTTTTTTTACATTGAGCGTTTTTGACCGTCCCCATGTATATGATATAATGTGTTGTCATTTTTAGCGACGTAAAGAACGCCATGTCCACTCTGTGGGAAGTGCCCGTACAAATAAAATGGCCCCCCTAATTGGCAACAACCAACATGCTGCATGTCGAGTGATGTCACTTTGTTGGAGGGAGGCGTGAAGGGAGGACAGCCAGCCTGTTGGGACGCCATTGAGTTGCATCCATTAGCGTCCAAAAAGGCAGGTGAAAATGATTACGCACAGTACGGTCACGCATGTACTGGCCTTCATTAAACATCTGGTTGAGTTTTGTCGAAGGGGGAAGCCACGTTAGGGTGGTCCTCTCTCCCCCAACACATCTGTCCTGTTAACACGGGTCGGGCCGCCAGCGTTCTAACGTCTTAACATCTCCTCTGGGCGGTGCAACGCGACACCTGGGAGGCTCACGACTGACTGCATAATTAAAAGAATTACATGGTGAGAAGCATTGCGGGATCACGTTTGTGAACGCATGGCAAGATATTCGAGTAATACCCGGATATACTGTATTGCAAGTACTCCCATGAGCGGACTTGAGGGTTCCCTACCGTGGATTCGGCTATTCAATGAGTGACTTTTTGCTGGGACTGAATGGAGACTGGCTGGAAAATTTCCCTGATGGTTTGGGGTGGCACAGTGAAAAGGTCACACTTCTCCACGGTGCAAATAAATAATTTTCACTCATGGAGGCAGCAGTTCATTCACTGCACAGTAAGGAGGCGGAGCATGGATACATCACCAAACACAAATCCCACCGTCAAGTCAAATATTTTCTCTTCGATATGTTCTATGCACCCCCACTATGCTAAACACGGCACTCTGATTAATATTGCGTTTGTAGAATGTAAATTAAGCAGCAAAATCAGCCCGTTTTTTTAAATTCATCTCAGCCGGTGGCCATTTTGCCACTTGCCGTCGACTAAAAATGACATCGCAGATGGTCAGGGCTCAGGTAACGACGATCACGGCTCACCCATTTTCCGAGGATTGTCATCTGACATTCGCAAGCTGAGCCGTGATTGGCTGTTACTTGATCCCTGCGCAGCTCATTTTCAGACGACAGCCAGTCACAAAATGGCCGCCATTCATCAGAAGACCGCGTTTCAACTAGTCAGGCTGCATCGGGCATTTTTGACTTGACTTCCCTTATAAGATAAACATCAGCAGATTGTGTTCCATTATTCTCACAATCCAAATATATTTATGTGTTTTGCGTTATACTAGCGATGATGTGATTGCTTGTCTGTGGCATTCCTGTGGCAGTACCATGAGAAGATGGCCAACCTCCAAAAGGTCTTGATGACATCATCACAGTTTCACCTCACCAAGGACTGCCATCACATGGGAGAAACCCGGTCTAAAAACATAATACAAATTAAAAAAGGACATTTGGACAACAATACGAAAGCACAAAAGACTAATGCTGTGGTGTCAGACTACGCCAGGACCCCCGCGGTCCCTCACCCACCCTCTTGACCTTTTCACCTTGGCTGCATGGTGTCCACATCATCCACTTTTCCTCCTCCTTTGCCTCCATCGCTGAAACACAACGCACAGGCAAAACGATTGGGACAATGACAATGTTACACAGGCGTTGGAATTGCACACATTCTTCCACACCGAAGCTTCCAAGCATAGCTTGACCGACTTGGGTTTTGGCCTTCCCCGAACTTCCCTCTAAAAGCTGTAATTGTCCAAATCATTTCAAGAAAGGTCTCGTCCGACCTCCGATTGATTGATGACGAGGTGTGTCCAAATACCGTTGCCCGTGTATCAGTCTGAGCGAGGGTCCATGTTGATGGGATCGGGCCATATTTGGTCATGAATGTGGTTTGGAGCCTAATGACAGAAAAGGATCAGGACACGGCCCATATCCACAAGTGCACATTAAGTCCAATGCCTTATTAGAAATAATATCGTATTTAACATTGCGTTGCTAATTCATAGCTCTTAGATTGTTTCCTCCCCTCGATGCGCGCGCCCACACACACACACACACGCACGCACACACACCCACCCTTAACCTCCCATATTAATCCATGAGCTCTAACCTGGAGTCTTCTTTAAAGTCACTTTGGGAACTTTAAACACACTTTCATGTCTGATTGTTCCTGAGTTCTTTAGAGGGTGTGTATTATGCATCCGTGTGCGTGTGTGTGTGTGTGTGTGTGTGTGTGTGTGTGTGTGTGTGTGTGTGTGTGTGTGTGTGTGCGCGCGCGCGCGCCTAAGTAGCAACAGATGCTGCGTGTGACCTCAGAGGCTTCCTGGAAACTCAAATTTGTCAAAATGAAGCAGGAAAAAGAGAGAGAGCACTGCAGTTTAGGTAAATGTAACTTATACGGGACGGACACACACACACACACAAACACACACACACACACAAAAAAACGCACATACACACACACTGTACGCCATGCAAACCAAGCTTTTCGGGTTGTGTTACAATGACCTCATTGAATGGTAATCATAAATTGTACACATGCAGCATCAAATAGATGATAACATGTGACCGAAGACGTGATGTTACAACGCAAAACGAGAAGCCCTCGAGTGATCGTAGTATTTTTTTTGCTATTTTTCCCAAACTTTAAAAGAGTAAAATACAGTTGGCCCATTTTGGCCAGTTTCAGTTATTTATTTATTTTTAAACATGTATTAAAATTTTTTAAATTATATATGTGCATACAAAATAAAGACACATTAGGCAGCAAAACAACATTTCTTCATTTCTGTCCCACAAAAAAAAAAAAAAAATTGAATGATTAATATTTTTCTGTGCATGCAACGGGTGGTGCTGAATATATTGCGGAAAAAAAGAAAAACCTCTGTTATGTTAAAATAATATCGCCTGCAGCTGATATGTTATTTTAAGTCCTTTTTTTAATTTTTTTTTTTTTTTTTTATGAGGGACAATTTCCTGCCGATTTAATGACAGACCAGCGACTTGTGAAACAAATGGCGTTCTGACTCAAGGCTTCACTCCGGGTTTTCACTTGCCGGCTCCTCGTATCTCGCAACAAGGCCGAAAATAAACCAGCCGTGTGATTGGGGACACAGCGGCGGCTGATGGCGGCACCTCGCCGGGGGGAAACGGCGCGGCCCTCGCACACATCATCCTCGCGCCGGAAAACAAATCACGCTATCTGTGGGCGACGAGCAGGCCTCGAGCCTAGCCCATGATATCACCTCTTTAGCAAAACAAGAGGAAACGCGTGCCAGTCGCTCTCATATGCGACCAATTATTTCACGGTGAAGTCGAGTTGTGGGAGCTGGAGGGAGGAGGGAGGGGGGGGGGGGAGGGGGACATTAAAGACATTTTCAACCATTAGCCCTTTAGCTCTGGGATCATACTGAGGGTAATAGTGACTAAACGCTGAATAAACACATTTGGCTAATAGGTCATTCCAACCTGAAACGAACGGCAAAACCAGCCGATTGGCTCTCGCGGACGCCATCATCGGCGACAGGCGCATGCGGAAAAGACGCAAAATCACATGCGAGTCGGCGAAACAGTGTCAGTGTCGGTTTTTGTTTGGGTAGCACATTTTCGATGGCGAGCATAAAGTCAGTGAGCTTCAGGGTGAACAAAAAAGCAAGCATTCCATGTGCCATTTACGCAGCTACTGTAAAGTAGGAATTGCATGTAGTTTTGTTTTGTTTTTTTGCGATACATTCACTTCTGCATTAGTATCAATGTACGGTTGCCACCTACGCTGCTGGTAAGTCTCATGACCCATTGTCATAAAAACGTCAAGATATTTTGGATGCTTTGATATGATTTTTTTGCGCTGCTTCAGTCCAATTTCCCCAAGCATATTCTCTTATCTGATAACGACAATCGTGCGACCGATTGTCTGTCAGCATTCATGCAAAAAATAAAAAATAAGTCAATCCAAAAAGATTTAGAGTTATTGTACTTGTTTTCGTACAGTTTAGTGTCACATCTGTTCCGAGTGTTTCAGTGGGAAATAGAACGGCAGCATCACAAACTTGATTTTGTATTAGACAAATTAATAGGCTAAAAACAAAAACAAGAACAAAAATGACAACATTGCCGAAAAGTAGAAAGAAGAAAAAAAAAAGAAAAGAAGAAATGAATCGTGTTTTGTGGAACCTTGACTGAGCTCAGCGACGGCGAGACATGGAGCACGCGAAGCGTGGCAGTAAAAAGTCCAACGCGCGGGTCGCCTCGCTGCTCTCTTGCAGCGGGCCCGCGGCTCTGTTTACTTTCCGCTAGCAGGGCGATCTGGAAGTGTTTGGCCGGGGCTCTGCCGCTCACTGGGAACGATCAGGCAATTCACATTTTAAACTATTTTGATATCGGGGCCCTGTGGAGAGTTGCTCTTTTCCTTGAGAACATGACTTGCCTTTGGGCTCTGGGGCCTGCTCGCACGGCTTGAGCAGTAAACACGGACATGGAAGCCAGAGAGTTCCTTTCGCGTTGTGAATTGACGACTACAAAAAGCAAGGAGGGGGGGGGGGTTGTCAGGGGGGTGGGGGATCACCCTCTCCCAAGATCTCACGATTGTGAGGAGGATTCCACTGTAAACAGACTGCAGGGAGGGAGATCGATGCAGACGAGTGACTTAATACCTCGCACCGAGGAGAAACGTATCGACTATAAATAGACTGGCACTGGGTAGAAATTTGCGGCAGCCATCTTGGCAAAGTGGTTTCATGACACAGCAAAGAATAAGACAGTTTAACCCTTTCAAAAATATATTTGAATGACGTGATATAAGGGCTCACACAGACTAACACCACCGAAATTACCATTTAATTGAATTTAAATCAACACAAAGCTTAGATTTGTTTGCGATGACTAAAAAAAAAAAAAATGCACACCACCGCCTCGCTCGGTGTCATCCTACACCTGACCGGACATGATGCGATGAAATGAGGTACTCAGTGTAATATGTTGGGGGACGGAGTACACAACGGGGGAAGAAACATCTGCAATGTAACTTTCAACGCGGCTCGGGAAAAGTAAATTCGAAATGATCAATTATCAACACGACTGGTCATTTATAAAAGAAGAGAGCGCTAATTTGTCTGCGCGTTTCCGTGTTACTTGATGTTCATTTCTGCTCCTTCCTATTTATTTATTTATTTATTTATTTTTGCCTGTGTTGTTCTCTCAGCATTGCAATGCATCACTTGACATTACCCAAGCAAGTTTGAGATGCAGCGCATCAGCTGAAAGCAATTTGGTCCCGAGCGCAGCTGCCAGGCGGATAAGACTTTCCTTCTTTCGTTTACTTT